AAATCTCCATTATATAAATATATAAACATAAAATAACTTCCGTATTTTCAATTTTACCTTACCAGAATTTTTTGAGGCAACTCTTCTGCCTAGACAGATGAACTCAAAGGCATATGTTAGAGAAGTATTTTTTTGCCTTTATTATCACAGAATTTGTCATCACTTGCATTATCCCGAAAGAAATAGTATTACAGATGTCATTAACAGTGCAAATTAATGCATTCTAGGCAGAGCTTTAAGTGTATTTATAGTGTGATATAAATACAGCCTTATTTATAATGTGATTGTTTACTCAAAATTAGATGATGTTATTCTGAGCTCACCCAAGCACTGCTGTTTGTAGTAAGAATAACCTGTCACATAGAGAACTATGTCGCTGGACATTGGCTTCCATCCAGTGAGCAGCTGAGTGCCTCTATTCCCAGCTAAGCTGATTGGACTCGTATTCCTCTCACATCCAGCAGTGGGCAAAATAGTCCCTAATGCAGGGTCTGACCCTGCAGTCCTGATGCACACAACTAATTCTTACTCAGGTCAAGAGGTCTACTCGTGACTGGGATTGAAGGTGATGAAATTCCTAATTCTGTCAGCACAGCTCAGCTGCAGGACCAATAAAGTAAGAATAGACAAAGGCAATGCATGGATAAAATGAATGAAAAGCAAAGAACTGGTGCCTCTTCTGCTGTGGTAGACTTTAGAGGAGAAAGGATAAAGTAACATATGGAAATGAAGCATAGACAGGAAAAGTTATCTTTTCAATGTTCGCTTGAAATTTAAGATACCAACACTTTTAACACACTGAAGGTAGAATAAAAATTAATAATATATAAATAATAGAATTAGCACCTGAGCTGGTAAGACCTAATCACAAATGAACAGTGCAATCATTATAATTTTGATCTACTTACTACCAATTACAGAAATTACTAAAGAAAAATAAATAAAAATTAGCCTAATCATCCTGTTAACCTATACCTTAAGTCTCACCTTTGACAACATGGCAAAATCTATAATCCTACCTCTATAAACAGCTCTGACCTTTGGCTATTTCTACTGATGGTTTCATGGCAGCTTGCTCAGACTTTTAAATTTTAGAAGGTACTAGATCACTTCCTAAAATCCTGTCATGCAGACCCAACACTATCTACCTTCAGAACTTCCAGAGTATCCCATGCCACTAAATGCTGTTTGAGTAGCAGTAAAACTACTGATCATCTCAGACCTAGAATTTCTTCTGCAAAGTCGTGTGATGTTTTACCATTACAAAACTTGGCAAAACATAAATTTCATCTATGAGAAGAAACTGAAATGAATATGATTTTTATTATAACTGATCCACAGTGCTTTCTATCTCCTTAATGTTCAAGTATCTGTCTTACAGTGTTTCCTTTTTCCGCATTTTAGGTACTTTTTTACTCTTCCATCTGTCTTGGACCATGCTAACCTTATCCCCAAAGCCATCGTAATTCAAATCCATTGCTAACTGATTACAGACATGCCTATTATTCTTCCCTAAAAATTAGGCCTTAAATACTTCATGTACTAAATATATCCCTGGCCTTGTGTTGCATTCAACATTCAGTAAAATTCAGAATTTGTTTGAAGAATAATCTGTGGTGCATACAGCTGTACAATTAACCACCAAATGTAAAGAGAGACTAAAGTAAAACAGGCAGCTGTTGCTGATCTGAAAACAATTTTTAACAGTAACAATTACAAATCACATTTTCTATATTGAGATTAACCATTTCATGGCCTTAGAATAGGGGGGGGGTGGAAACATGCAAATGGAATTCCTGGGGAACGACAAAAAGTAGTTTTAACAAATGAAAGTAGTTTGGAAACACAACCATGAAGGTCAAAAAGGGAAAGGAGAAAGAGGAGGGGAAGGAATTGAGTTGTGTAGCATGTTCCTTAAGTTGCACTGAGAGAATTCCTAGAAGTAAAAATATTTTCCCAGTTGCAACTTAATGAGTTATAACTGAAACCTCAACTATCACAATCACATTACGGTTCTGTGTTAGGCTGTTGTTCCTAATGTCATCAATCTGCAGATCTTACATATGGCACCTCTAAATATGAGGTTGATACTCCTGGCATACTTGCATATGTAACTCTTTAAGAAAATATTAATTTTTTGTCTGGAACTGATAGGCACTGCCTCATATCCAAAACTACAGATAAGTATCAGTCCCAGCTCTTGCCTCTGTGTCCTTTAAAGCTTTGTATTTAAGTTCATTCTTCCTGGTGAGAACAGAGCTCAATTGGCAGGTTTGGCAGTCTGCCAAGCTTTGACTGAAGACTCCTGGAAAAAACAGAGGTATAGCTTCATCCTGAAGACTGACAGTGTAAACATTCTGAAGTGTCTGCTGTGAAATAAGTACAAGACTGCCTCAGTCTTCCTATAGTGTCTTCCAAAAAGACAGAGGAGAAGGAATAAGAACACTGGCATATTCAGTCATTTGGCCTCACAAAAAATTAAAATTTTTCAGAAGTAGAAGTCAATGACTGTGTCTTGAAAGTATTACTTCCCGGCTGTTTGGCTAGCTATGTATCACTGCATACAGTGACATGTAACATGAGTCTTATAATGTCAACATAATTACTTAAAATGCTTTATCCTAATGCTCATAACAAAATTTAGACATCCTCATTATACTAGGTAGGTTTGTAGCCTGAAAAATTCACTCATGCTCTTTCCACAATGATGTGGTTTATGTTCTGATAAACATCTAAAGATGCTTATGACTAATAACACTTGCAACAAGTTGATTTTTTCCCAACATAACTCTACTGATTTCAAGACCATGATGTATTAGCAGTTCAAATACTTCCTGTTTCAAAAAACATGAATTATGTTTTTCAAGATAATTTTGAATAGAATACAAAATATTTGTAATAAATAAACAGAAGCAAATTCTAACACATTGGCTTAATTTTGAAAGTGAACCATTTTCATTATATTTCAACACTGTAAAAAAAAAATAAAGCCCTACAGTTGTAAATTCAAGCTATTCTGCTTGAATGCAATATAAATTTAACGTCTCCCCTGAGTGAGAGATAATCTTAAATGATCAGCTGCAAGAAAATGACTGACATGGATGCAAAGCTCAGCTCCTGGGTGACAGTTTGGGTTCAAGGGGCAACCCAAACTGTGAGGCTAAGGTTGGTCTTGGTTTGCTCAACGTGCAGCTCAATGATGCAATTAGTCCTAGGAGAGGCCATTTATTCTCTTATATTAAGTCTGACATTTTCTCAAGAGAAGAAAACAATTATTAAAAGTATTTCATTATGTGTATAAATGAAATTGAATTTAAAATGAATGCATAAAACAATGTATTAATCTCTAAAAATCAGAATCAGATAAAATCATAGACTGTAAAAGGTCAGACACTGCTCAAATCTTCCACAGACTCTGAAGAGTATTGGTTCAGGCCCCAGAGCTGAGACCATTAGTTATTGATTTTAAGCTATTATTTTGAAACCTTCAGAATTTGTTTCTAAATAACCAAGAGAAGAAATAGACACATTAGTTCCTACACTAGAACTCTTCTATTTTTTATTATAACCAGTCCTTACACAGGAAACAAGACAATTTAGAAAGCCAGAGAGAGTTAGAGAGCAAAATTATTCCAGAGAAGCTTTCTCTTTATCCAATGTTTTCCCTCCCACACAGAAAAGTGGAACACAGATACCCTCGGTTCTTAGAAATGAGTAGAAAAAGAAGAAAAAGCTGCAAGGGCAGAAAGAGCTCTGATTCCAGAGAATGTAAGTTTACAAAAATATTTAATTTGAAGTAAAATCATCAGAATCATATATGGCTATTCTTCATTTACTCATCAAGACAGAAACACATGTTTGTGCCTAAAGCTGTTTGTCAAATGGAAATAATTTACACTCCAGTGCGGCTACATACAGGTAGCGTTTTGGTGGGACTTATTGTTTTGTTTTAGTTAAGCTGCTAGCCTAGCTATTTCTGGCAAAGGCTTTCCAAATATATTGCCTCAAAATTTCATCATTCTTGGTGTAAACTTCTCCATGTTGTCTTAGTTTAATAGCTTGTTCTAATCCTATTTAGGTAGATGTCACTGTAAACAGTTACCCTCTAATGCACATGACCTATTCTAAAAAAAGCCCGAGCAAGACAGAATTTTATGTCATTGTATGAATGCCATGAAATTTTGCCTAGTACAGCCAGAAAACATAACATTCTTCTGCTTTCCTGTGAACTGTGGCTCACATCTCCTGCAATGTGCCACTGATGTGCAGTGTGATTGTGATAATATTAATTAATCCCTTTGTTTGCTCACGTGTAGAAGGATTATAAAAGTCACATTCCATAGAATTTACCCCAAACTGCAAGCAGGCAGTAGGATATTGATTCTCCCAGTGTGTTCACAGGAACTAAGTAAATAATGGGAGGAGTAATAAAATTTAAAAGTGTAGCTCTTACTACATGCAAATAGTATATCTTATCCCCTAACAAATGCAAAACTTCATTTTTAAAAAAATTGCTAATATATTGATTTTCTCATATCAGATTTAATTAACGTGGCCCAATCTGATTTCACACTACTTATCAAATAATTAAGACAAAACAAGTTAATATTGAAATTTTAAATTAATGTTGTGTAAAATACACTACATCTTAGAAATAAAATAGGTATTTTCTATGAAAAGTAACTCAAAGTTAATCACACATTTATGATACTGCTGACCAAATCATGGAAAAATTGTTTTTTCTTTTCTTTTGCTTTAAATTAGATGAACAGTTATCATCCATTTGTAAATGCCAGCAAAGTGTAGGAAGCCTTGAAAATAAAGCAGATGAGGCTCTTGCTCACTTTGCAGAGCCACCGGATATAAAGAGTACTGGTGAAGATGGCAAAGATCATGAAAACAAGAATCAGAGTAGCTCAGAAGCTTCTGAAGATAGAGATCTTGATAACATATCAGACAGTGAAAAAGAAGGAAAGAAGAAAAAGAACTGCCCTCCTAAAATGTTTTCTCCTCAGCAAGATGAAATCCTAGCTACGGTAACTTTTGGTGAATCAGAGGGCTCATCCAAAGGAAAAATTACACTGTGGGGCAAGCCAGACTCTTCAGAGTCCATTACCTTGACCACTGGAAAAATTTCTGCAGAAGTAAAATATGGTTCTTTTAATTTGAAAGTAGAAATTAAGAATGTTTCTTTACCTGATTCTGGAACAAACATTGTGGCTGAAAAAAAGAAAAGTTCTAAGAACAAAAAACGTTGTCATGAAAGACAATACCAGAAAAGTCAAGGTTCAAAATGTTCAAAGTACCAGTGTCCTTCAACTTACCATTCAGCAGAAGACAATGGGAAATACAGGGGATCCTCTAAACATAGAATTCAAACTGCCATCAACGGAAGTGCCTCCTTGGAAATGAACATTGAAGCAAAAGAAATTCAAGTGCAATATACCAGTGGAAAGAAAAATCTGAAGGTTAACATCAAAGCTGGTGAGCAGGCACAGAGCAAAGCATTCAACAAGGAACGTGAAGATACGTATTGGAGTGAAACAGATTATTCTGTAACAGAGGCACCATGTAATACAGATTGTGAGTCATCTTTTAGCTTTCATGAAAAAGTAGATTATACATTTCCAGATGGATGTACACTTCTCCCTCCACCTAAAGAATTTGCTGACTGTGACAAAATGCATCTGGATACAATTGCAGAGGGGGTGTCTTTGTACCCTGTTAATAGCAGAAAGGACTCTGACAGCCTCTCTACAGCCTTGAGTATTTGGGGGAAAGAAAATTTTTTCTATAAACTTAACAAAGAGGACTATGAAGACCACACCAATGAAAAGGAAGATTTTTCAAAAGACAAAATAATTTTGTCAAAAATAAATAATACAAATTGTCTTGTAGCTATTAATGTTTTGCATAACCCAAACAATGGGAAGGAGTGCATCAGTAAGAACAATGTATTAGGTCAAGGAAGAAATAACTGTGACAAACGAAGAGACACAGGACAAAAAACAGCAAGAAGTAAGTCTTTCCCAGATACTACTCTCAACGTACCATCACCAATTTACCCTAGAAGGGATTCTGGCTTTTATTCATTGCCATCCTTAAAAGTATTGCATAAGGAGACCAAAGCAGGGGATGTCTATAACAGGAACTCACATATTCATACAAAATATACAGAACTTTCTAAATGTCCTGACTTGACCTCCTCACTAACAGAGCTTTGCAAGTGCCCTGACTTGACTTCTCCACTGAAAAATTTGAGAAGTCTTAAGTCTTCATATCAGTATGCTTTCACATCATTTGATCATAATGTTACCATTTATCCATCTGAGCCTGAAGAAAGTTTAGATGGCACTTATTTGCTGAATGACTATGCAGACTGTGCAGGGCAAGGTGAAGAAACAGAAGAAACATTATTGGAGAGTCTTCATTCCAGTGGTACTATAAATGACAAAAAGGAAAATGGGTGTGAAGAGCCTCTGAGAAATCTGGCCATGTGGAAGGAAGACTCTGAGTCCACTGAAGAAGCTTTAGATAAAGGGACACCAGAGTACAACTATATAGAAAAGCATGTGGAATGGCAAAACAAAGCTCAGCTGGTACAGGTCACTCCACATTCTAGAAGCCCTGCAGGTGAATTCATTAATGACAAGGAGAGTGCTAATTATGCATCTACAGAAAACATCCCAAAACAACTTTCAGCCTTAGAGCTAAATGTTCACCCACCCTCTGCAGAGTCTGAGGTAACAAATAAACGGAGAGGATCAGTACCAACTGACTCTGCAGTGATAAAGGGAAAACTAGATGGAAGATTGATCCAAGATGATACTACATTGACATCCGAATGTTTTGGCTCTGCAGTAAGAAAAGAGTCTAACTTATTCTGCAGTACACCAGAAAAATCTTTGCTGTCATCCTTGTGGTTAGATCCCAAGGAGCAAGACATAAATAAAGAATCAGAAAACTTTTCTGAGATACAAGACCTATGTGGGTATATCCTTGTTGAATCTGATTGCCATGATTCAGCAGACGCTTCTGTATTATCTACATCTTCTGCATGTACAGAAAAGAAAGAGAATATCACAGAACATTCAAATGTTAAGGAAAGGTCAGAGAACTTTTGCAGTAAACAGTCAACTGATGATACCTTAAGGAGAGAGCCTGGAGCACATCAACAACCTCACTTACCCAAATCCAACTCTGAAGAAATTGAGAAAGGTTTTGAAATTAAAGAAAATTATTATGACAGTGCAGATATCACCCTATCATCAGTAAAACAGATTAGTCAGAAAGGTAGGTATTACGAGACTTTTGAAGTTAATATCATTTACATACCTTTTGCCTAAGAGCTTTTGTGACATCTGTGGTTTTTTGGAAAATATGTGTCTATTTGAAGTTTACAATGATATCATTATGATATGATATGCTTGGCCATGTGGTTGTAATATGCAGTTAATGTGTTAAGGATCCTAGAAGCCATCTTGTAGAGCCAAGTACCCTAAATAAAAAAAAAAAAAATTAAAAGTTTAATGCAGCTTTGATCAAGGAGCAGGTTTCCTACATCAAACATTCCACTCATCCTATACATGTATTGAGAGAAGCAAACACCACTACAGGAATAGTAAAAGCAGTTGCCATGTGGCATGAACGCAAAGCTCTAGTCAGTGTTTAAAATCACATAAATCTGGTTTTTCAATACATGTGATCTAAACAAATATTGAGTTCTAAGTACATCTCATTCTTCACTCTGGATGAACCTTTAAATGCTTTGAAATGACCAGAGGGGATCCTTTAACCTTCTTTTCTCCTCTCTTTATATACTTAAAAAATCTGCCTACAAAAAAGACTTATTTTCAATAGCTAATATTTTACAAAATTTCTTGTCTTCCCTTCTATAACCCATCTACCCATACCCATAACTGGTCATTTAAAGTTAGTGTTTTGTATCATAAAACTGTTAAGCCATACAGGGACCTTGCACACTACATTAGGGGCTTTTTACATTATGAATATGTACAACAAATATATGTGTATCTCTTTTTGAAATATCACTCCAACCACTTTAGTTTTAACCTTTAATATTAATCAGGTTATATGCAAATATACCTCTAGTTGTCCTGTCCAGAAGAGAATGTTTCCAGCAGATTTGGAGGTTAAGAGGTTTATACTGTTGAAAAATATGTATTTTCTCATTATGGGAAAATGTCTTAAAGAACCTTAGTTAAAAGCATCAGAAACTTTTTAAAAATCTTTTTAGTTCACAATATCTGCAAAAAATACTGGTATGACCTCCATGGTTGTCTTGTTTGGCATTGATAATGGAAATTTAAAAAATATCTGAAGTCTATATAAACTATATAGATATGGTATGTAGGTACATATTGCTATATAGATCAATATCTCAGTATCAATATATAAAATAAATCATTTATTAAATGGAAATCTCTATAGAACAAAGTACAGAATGAAGATACCAAAGGAAATATACATGTCAAAAACCTTGACATTATACATTAGACCTAAACAGTTGAACACATAGCACAGAAGTGAGGTGTAGCTATTTCTTGCATTTTTATTTTATTCTCTCCTCTTCCACTTTTGACCCTTACTAAGAATTATCTACTTGTACCTGGTCTGTAACTTTGGCCCTCTTTTGGTCTAGGGTTGTATTTTAATTTTCCTTCTGTGTTATTCCTAGCAATGCTGTGGAGGTCTTACGTCAAATAAATAAACGTGTACATCCTGTAGGCAGTATAAGCATTTAAAGTTTTAAAACTCTTTAATAGGAATCAAAATCCAAATCCACTTGTAGTTTAGGATTACCAGCCTACTTTGTCAAGACAAGGGGAACAAAGGGCAATGTGGGACTTCCTGAGCTTAGTAATCTAGTGACACAGGAAAGGAAATGTGGTGTTTTTCATCAAAGAGTGATACCTAGAACAGAGGAGAAAAACAGATGCAACTGTGGTAAACAGAACGGAGGAGAGGAGCCCTGGCAATCTAGAAGTCTGCTGGTGTTGTGAGGACTTCACTGTTATCGGAGGGGATAACATGCCCCTCCTGCAAAGGGCACTACAAGAGATAGGCTTCCTGACTTTCAGCAATGGTCTGGAAATAGTGCCCTGGAATGCCCTGGTTCTGTTCTTGGACCTCTGAGGGAGATCTAGTGAAGCCAGACAGAGGCTATAGAGACATGAGAGCATGGACACAATCCTTCAGGGAGCCTGTTAAGGCTGGGCTTGCTTTCTCCCTGTCTGCCCTTGCCCGTGACTACAGTTGCATTTTCAGAAGAGAATATAACACAAAGTCTGTTTTCCAAATACTTTTTTAGGTGAAATAGTAATACAAAAATAAATTTATTCTGTTTTACCTAGAAAGAAACCTAAAATAGAAAGGTATATCCTCCTCTTATCTTCATGTTTGTCTTTCAAGATTATTAGTGTTCAAATAGGAGTATATGTATATCTCTCTACATACTGACCATTTAAAAATGCATGAGCACTTTAAATAAAATCCATGGGCAGTTTACACATTTTTGCGTTAAAATGGTGACACACAAATGGCTGTGTAGGTATTTAACTACAGATGACTTTACTTTTCTCTGCATGAAGGTCTCAGTTAGTCTAAAATATATACTTTATGAATATTTTCAGTATTTTTTGATATTTTCATTTGTATGTTTGGTTAGATTACTCTTGGATTTAGAATGTGGAAATATTAAACACTATAATTACTTGTAGAAGTTGTCTCACACATTTCTCACAAACTATATCTGGTTATAATTTAGACTTAAAATCAGAAATGAATAAAACCAGAAAGCTACCTTTGAAGAAGGACACCAGAGCAAGTGACAGTTCCCAGGAGGATGCAATAGACCAGTGGGCCAGAAGACGGAAACAGTTCAAAGACAGCAAAAAGTGCAGTTCAACTGGAGGAAGCTCCATAAACAGCACAATCACTGAGGGATCAAGTGAGTACTCCAGTCGTACAATTGTGATCTTTCCCCTTTGTGTGATTGGCACTCTGACTGGGTTTTCAGCTGAGGAAATTGATCTTCAGTTCACAACCTGAGTGTCTATCTTAGTCATAATCTTGACCAAGCATATTTTATTAAATTGAACTATTCCTTATAGGTAGTTAGTATCCTTTCTCCTTGGATAAGCAAACAATATAACTGAAAAAAAGTTGATTAAACCATACATGTTCATATACAATTAAGACAAACTCTAGGCACACACAGGTGGCAGCAGGTTTGAGGTTATAGCAAAAATCATAATCCTTATGCCTACTTATGTCAAAGCAATGCTGAGGTGGGAGTGTGCTCTCCTCCCTAAGGAAACCACCTGCTTCAGCTTTTGTCTTGGGCTTGTTGCCTATGTTGTCCTTCAGTGTGCCTCTACTGACTGAAACAGTTAGACCCATAACTGTCTCATTAAGAAATCTGTCACCTCACCACAGACTTGGATGGCAAGCAAGATACCCTAAGGCATCTAATGTGGTACCTGTGTTCGGGTAACTGAGCCAATCCCTAAGTTTTTAGTGCCTGTTAACGAAGTAGCAGAAATGACTGACATTTCACATGGAAATAAAAAAAAGCTCTTTACTGGTAGCAGTTTTCATTCTTTGCCCCTAAAAGAGATTAAAAACCATGGTAATGAGTTTAGAAAGTTTCTATGTCAAACCACCTGAGCTCAAGAAACCTATCATGAGATACTCATACCAAGATAAACTGTTCATTGATTTCAACATTAATGTCTCTTGAATATAAAGCTGAACCATAGATTTTACTAGCTCAAGCACGTATTGGTTTTATAGAAAAAGTATATATATATAGAAAAGAACAAGTTGCAAGAGCTAGAATTGCTTTCCTTGAGATAAAGCTTTCGGTAGCACATGGTGTGAACCCAAAATGATCTCCAGAACAGACAATTCTTCCACAAATTCTTATATGTAATCATTTTGGGTGGTATGCTACAGGCCTGACACTTCTGTTCCTTTTGCTTTGGTAGTTAGGCTGTTCCCTCGTGTTTGCAGAGTTCAGACAACCCTGACTGATATTTAGAAGCAGCAGGTTCTTTCATGCTTGCTTCCAGCAGCTGGGAAGAATTGAATTGTTCTTGTTTGTGACACTCAGATTGATATCTGTTCTGAAAACTCAAGGAGAGGAGAGAAGAAATGTCTTGGCATAACTCCGTGCTGCCAGTGTGGCAGTATGTGTTTCTGTAGTTTTGCATATTTGTCACATTTTAAGCTTTACTACAATTAAAAAAATCAGATTAAGCTGGCAAAATAGTGTGCTATACTGAATTACTTGGTGCTAGTCTAGGTTTTATTAATTTATGCATTCAGGCTAGCAAGCTAAAATGTGCTTCAAACATATCAGCATAGTAATGTTTATTTATTTGGTTTTTGGTTTTTTTTATTTGCTAGAAGCTTTTTATACAGTTAATCATGCCATCTCATGCATAATTAGGGAAAAAACAGTGGGTGTGAAGTATTTGTCTACATAGATACAGTTGAGCAAACTGTCTGTTACAAGGCCGCTTAGATATATTCACGAAGAAACTTCCCAAACAAAACAAAATAGAGGTTAATTTTTATCTTTTCTGGTTTGAAACTGGAAATCATTCTACATAATTGTGACTTCTAATAAAGGTAAACAAAGCAAGTAAATCCTATCTCCAGCTACATTAAATCTAGCTGCAATTTACCAGGCATTTAGTACTGAAAGGAACATGACGGTTTTTTTCCTCTCAGACAATTTATATTTTCAATCTATCTGTTAGCATAGTGTCTGATGATGTATATTTTTACGTGACTTTCAACATCCAGTTTTAACTTTGAAGTTCCAGCTTCTGATCTGCTTGGGATGTTGTCATGCACAGCCTTTTCCTTCATAGTCAAACTGCTGTTTATAACCTCTCACACAGACAGCTGCCTGCCATCCTCTTGCCTTTTGAGCCTGAACATTTCTGGTTTTACTCTCAGCAGAGAACTAGAGCTCCATCTCCATGGGGACTCAGTGCAAGACATTTTGAATGTAAATTAATATAAAATATGAACGTGAAAATCCTTGGGATAACACATGTAGCATCACGCCCTGAGATCAGTTCAGTTGTTTAGAGCATGGTGCTAATAACTCCAAGGTTGTGGGGTCGATCCCTGTATTAGCCATTCCCTTAAGAGTTGGATTTGACGATCCTTGTGAGTCCCTTCCAACTTAGAATATTCTGTGAAATGCTGTGAAATATCCAACAGCCTAGGACAAGCCAAAAGTTCTATGTTAAAAGAAAAAAAAAACACCAACAACTATTATTTCCTCACCCCACTTTTAACAAAACTACACATCTGGAAGAGCTAAGATTAAGAAAACAGAAAATATGGTCATCACTACCCAAGTCATGTCAGATACTTTTCTACTTGTCTTTTGTCTTCCCATATGCACTGAACTTATACTAAATTTCTAGACTTGTTTGGTTTCCTGATCAAATGGGCCACATAGGAAAGCTTAAGAATCAGCTAAAGCCAGACTTCTCTTAAAGAGGTGTAGCTCCTGTTTTGACCATTTGCATTAAGACTTCTTATTCAAGTTCAATATGCAATAACATCCAGTATTGTGGTCTTATATTTGGAAATCTTCGCACACTGTCCCTTTAACACTAAAAAAAATTGAGGAACTCCGTACAGACATTACAAACAGTTCATTAAAATCTTGTGGCACTTCTTCCATGCTGACTGGGTAAGAATAACTGTCTGTTACTCTTTATGCATTTTCTCTACTGACGTAACTTTTACTTGTTTTATCATCATGGCAGTAAATTCAGAGGATGCTCGATCAGTAGATTTGGGACTATATGCTGAAAATGAAGACAGAGGTTTTTATACAGAAAACTTTCATTCTGCTTCCTGGGTTTTCAGAGGAGATGATGTCTCTCCAGATAACAGTCCTAGATGTCTCAGCAAAAGACCTAGACCAGTAGCAAGTAAGTTGGCTAGAGCAACAGATAATAAATGTCATAGAAATTTATTTATTTTCTGCACTCTGAGGTTTTCTGGAGATCAACATGCGGCAGAAGATACTGGATGCTTATGCTGAAGACAGGAAAAAGATGAATGCAAAACTCTAAAAGATTATTGAAGTAAATAAGTAGTTCTCATTTACCTAACATCTTGCAAAATGTCATAATTACTTGACAAAATTGAAACTGGTAAAAGGTCATAATTAAGCCTCAAGAGATAATGGTAAAGACAGGGTAATTTCATAACTTCTTCAAGCCTGGCAAAATCATAGAGAGATACTGATGGTCATAAATTATTATAATGACCATAAAATCTCTTCCACATCAAAATTTTAAGCACAGTAAATCCAGAAAGGAAAGAATCATTTGCTATGAAGGTTATTCTATTTGTAGCTTAGACCCTGTTGTGCAAAAAGATATTGTGAACAACTCTTTAAGGGAGATCAGAGCTTTTCCTTGACTTTTCAGATGTTAAGTTACTGAAAAGTAACACAGCTCAAAGATCTAAGACAAACTGAACACTCCTGTAGCTTTCCAGGAGATTGTTCTTTGTTGGAATTCATAAATCATTCAGAATATTTGATCAGTCACAGTGTGAGGGGTGGCACTGTCCGAGGACCAGCACTAAACAGCTAGGTACTGAAAGCACCCCAACAATTTGTAGAAACAGTAACTGCCAGTGCCTACAAAAAGTTTTGAGAACAGCCTGCTGCTTGTTAAATTCAGCTTGTAGAGAAAAAGGATATCTCTTTTTTCCAATTTTGCAGTTCGAGAAAGAACAGTGAAGATTGCTAAAGGAACTGGTAATTATCCTTGGGGTTTCAGGATCCAGTTCTCAAAGCCTATCCTTGTGACTGAAGTTGACACAAGTAAGTTGCGTTTGTATTGGTTAATTTGTCTTGTGTTTGTACCAGTTTATTTCTCCTATGACAAAGTATTAAAAAAAATACATAATATTTAGTATATTATATATACTGATATAATCATATATCTACATGATATAATATGATCTACATAGTATAGAGCATCTGTTTTGTATTAATATCTAATATAGATGTACATTAATAATTTCCATAATTAGTGGGTGCAAGGTGTTTAATAGCATACCCTTGAACTGCTCAGGAGAAACTTCTTCAGAACCCTAGTATCCCTGGGGATAAAACAGACTCCACTGCTCTGTCTCCTTCCATGTCAATTGATACGTTGTGCAAGTGCCTGTATTCAGCCTCCATCCAGATGTAGAGTCTAAAACTGTTGTGGACTGACATCCATGAATGACAACATGATTTTAAGAATTAAATAGGGCATGCAGAGATCCTTCTAACATTTTCAAAAGTCTTACTGACTGGGGACACTTCTGCTTGGATGGGTTTCCATTGAGCCGTCTGTAAGCCATAACAGGTGTGCTGTTAACTTCTTCAGGGTAGTATGATGATTGTGAGAAACCCCAAAAGAAACTCCAAAACCTAACTGAGTAAACAAAAAAGTGTCAACAAAGAGTGTAGAAAAAGTACAAGAAGTATAAGATGATGCCTCTAGAGAGCAATGATGGCATGTCTTCATAACGGTGTTGCCAGTTTCACTCAGGAATTAGACCATGGGAGTCATCACTGAAAGGTCTCTGAAATCATTGGCTCTGTGTATACTGTCAGCTTAGAAATCTGGCTAAAAGCTTACTGTATCAGTAACAGCAGTGAGAATGAGACACAAGCAGTCAGAGTCATTTTACTGCTATCATCTAAAAGCTTGGTTCACCCATATCTAGAGTAGTTTTTGCTCTCTGCATCTCAGGATGAGTATGGTAGAATTAGAAAAGGAGCAGAAGGTACAGGAGACTGTGATAGATTCTTATTACAGAAAGCAGATATAGTGCTAAATGTCATCCCACAGGAAGAATGCTTGCCTTCCAGCAAGGCATCTAAGAATAGATTTATCACTATTACCAACCTTATGTATTACATTGTCCATCTTCCTGACAATATCAGGAAAGCCTGTGAATTCAGAGGCCTGTGAACTCATTAGTTCCTTACCCAAATACAATCACAGGTAATGAATACAACAATAGCCTTGAAACTTAGCAATTTATCCCTGCTAATCTACTAATGAAAATTAAGTCTAGCTACTCACATTATTTTTTATATGTTGTTTTCAAGTGTAGTTGCTTTAAACCTGTGGGGAAAAAAAAAAAGGTTGGGGTTTTTTTCAGGCAAACATCTAGAAAAATTGTGTTTTCTCAACATATGACTCATTTCATTTAAACAGAATAGATATTAGAAAGAAATTCTTTACTGTGAGGATGGTGAGGCACAGGAACAGGTTGCCTAGAGCAGCTGTGGATTCCCCATCCCTGCACAGGTTCAAGGCCAAGCTAGTTGGGGCTTTGAGCCACCTGGCCTAGCAAAATGTTCCTCTGCCCGTGGTAGGGGGATGTAACCAGATGACCTTTATGGGCCATTCCAGCCCAAACCATCCTATGATTCTATAATAATTATTTTAATAATATTTTAAAGACCCCTTATGATCATAAAATCTGGTATGGGATCCTCAAAGCCAGCACAAACCAAAATGTGCTGACATTTGAGAATTTGCAAATGATTTGTAATACCTTTGAGTGTGGACCATGGCTTTATTGCGCCTGTTTATTATTAAGCTTTTACTAATCTCTTCCCTACAATGTCTAAGCATCCTCAGAAATACACTGAAGCATCCCATTTACTGCATCATAGGGTACAAAATCTCTAAAATAATACATTAAATAGTGAGAACGTGGAATAATATTTTCCAGAAACATTTTGCCACAGTACATTAGGAATGCTTCATTGTAAATTAGAAAACAAAAACTGTGTCTGATAAATTTGTAACTGAGATTTAAGTAACTATGTGTTGGTGAATGGAGCATATTTATCACTTCCCTAATTTGCTTCCATTCCTGACTGGCATGTGTCTGAGCACTGTTTTGGAGTGCATGTGATTTGCAATGGTTAGCAAATAAATGAAAGGTCATGCATTAATGATCTGATTCAGTCCCTCCTTCACTGACACTTTTTTAACTTACTATATTATTTCCTCCTAAAGACAAAACCCCTCAAAATTCTCTGGCCAAATTCAGTTAACCAGCAAAGACAAACATCAGCACAGAAAGTATTCTTTTGGAGTTACATCCAAAGCTCATCAGAATAATAGATTTTTTTTTTTTCTACTGGTTTTATTGAACATTGCACCAGATCTTAGTTTGCACTTTAGGCCAAAACCCTCAGACACTGAAATTATTATTTGCATCTTTAAATCCTAATGGAATTTTTAATTAAATTTCTCAACTGCCAGTGATTATCTAGTGTTGCCCCACAATCCAAATCCTGAATATTCATTTACAGATGACTAACGTTACTCAGTAAAACTTGTTTGACCTTGAAGTTGAAATCATGAAGACCCTAAAGCATAATCTGGTTGAACAGATACACGTTTTGCTAGAAAAGCTTCTCTGTACAGCCATGCTTGATATCCTAACTCTAAATAAAATGGAGTTTTTGATAGGGTTTTTTGGTTTTTTCTTTAATTCCAGATAGTGCAGCTGAAGAAGCTGGGCTTCAGGTTGGGGATATTCTAATAGCAGTCAATGGAACTGATGTCACCAGCATGCCACATTCAGAAGCTGCCAATCTGGCAAGGAAAGGTAATTTTGAGATCACAATAAATTACATGAATGGGTCGGGTTTCCTGTTCAATGCTCCAAATACAACCAGAAAATCTGGGTGATGTATGCAACAGAAATATTAATTACCAGTATAATGCATTCATATTTAATACAGTAGTATTGCCTAAATCACCTTTTTATCTAGATCTTGTCTTCTAGACATGTAAAATTATTTCCCAAAGAGCACATGTGACTGCAGAGACACAAATACCTTATTTATGCCTTATACTTCCTCAGGGAGAGACTTCATATCTTCCTTCAGTGCACCCAGTAGTTATTTCTGTGTCGCCAAGACCTGAAGTCTAGTCAGGAGAGCAGAGAGGTCATTTCACGACGCATCCTTTTACACCGGCACAGAAACAGTCAGCAATATTAATCAAGTATATTCTTCCTAGAATTGTGATGATTAAAACCCAAAGATACCCATGTTTGCATGCTGAAAGTTAATCTGCCATTCCCTTATTTGTCCCAGATAAGGTTTTGACAAAGGCTCACAGGAAATTCAATACAGTGCTTTTACAAGACAGTGACAAATTTAACTTGACACGTTCCATATTCTTTAATTATAGAGGTGTCATTCACACTACTATATTTAAGAGTATGTTGAGTCTTTTAGCAGATAAATCTCTGATTACTTGGTACTTTAACTCCTCAGAGAACACCCTCTGGACTAAATCTTGGCACACAGACAGCATTCCCAAAGTCACATGACCCGAAAAAAGAGATCCAGCGAACACTTTGCTGATAAAAATATGTCATAGTCACATTTCTCAATTCTCCTTCAGGCATTGCTACCTGCTCTGAAGTAGTGTCGATATAGTCAGAATCTCAGGCCTTCAGGTCAAAATCATAGATCTATTGATAGCTTCACCAAATATTATGATTTTGTATCTCACTGATGGTAACATAGTTTTGGAAAATCTTGCAACCTATCATATCTTCTGTATGTTTACCTTTTGCAATTGGTAAGTAGAAGCTTTAGGACAGATTAGCCTCCAACTGCCAGCCCCCTCGATGAGGGGCACAGGAAGGTTAGAAAACTCCAAGGCACGGAAAATAAAGAATTCTAAAGAGCATATGTAAGATGGCGGAGCCTGAAGGTGCCCCTAAGAGCATTCTCAGCAATTTTTGCATAAACCTCAATTTATGTGCACCCATTGGAGCAATGAGATTCAATCCCTTCTCTTAACTGATAAAATACACAAGCACCCAAAATGCTGCTTGCAAAGGGAGGTCACAAAATTTTTTTTAAGAGGAGTCTTCAGATAGCTGGCTCCATTAGTAACCCTCAACACAAAATTAGTTTCATTCCTGAATTCATGTTAAAAGAAGGCCAAATATTGCTTGATTTGATTTATTTTCTAGGCTTCTCTGCTCTTTGCTGCTTCCAGAAGCTACACTGGGAGGACAAGGGCATGGGGTAGAATACTGCCTTCCTGCTCCATATACTACATGGATGTTAAAAGATATTGACAGACTGGTTTTGGCCTATGTTTTTGCACTCTTCATGTAATATTTTAGGTCCTGATATCCTGACTATGATTGTGGGATCAGACATCAGCCGTTACCCCAACACCCCCAGACCTACCTGCCGAGGATATCTGCATAAACGAACACAGTCAGCAATTCTGAAGGGCTGGAGAAAGAGGTGGTTTGTGCTGAAACACAATGGCTACCTGCACTATTACAAACACAAGAAGGTAAGGAGAGTGGCTAGTGAGGAATCAGGCTGTGTCTTGAACTATGAAGTGCAGCAGCTTTGTACTCAAGCACCATCTTGACTTGTGCTATTTAAAAGATAATGTCATCGCTACAGGGTTTTGTATGAGGTGTATAAAGGAGGCTTGTTGGGTAGTTCTGCTTTCCTAAGCCTAGTCACAGACATAGGCACTGTATGGCTTTTATGGATTCTGCATTTAATCTCTTTGTTCTGATCTTCAAAAAGCCTGTAGAGGGCTTGGGATGAGATGAAGTAGCTTCAGATGTGTAAGGGCTCTATGTTCCATCTGGCGTTGTATGTATTTTCTTAAACAGGTGTGACTATGTGATTTCTTTGTGTCAATGAATAAGTTATGGACCTGCACGCTGGGAAGGCTTAGCTTCTTCAGAGAAGCAATGCTCAGTATTTCATTCTGTCATGGGAGCGGGGACCTGTATAGTGCTTAATAATTCTATGTAAGACTTTAACTTAATCTAACAATAAGACATCCAAAAAATGAATACGACAGGTGCTTCATGAAGGGAAATATTTCACTTGGCTTTATCCTGAGGCTCCATTTCAACACAGCATAATTTACAACCCTCTAGTTGTATAATGAGTCTTTATGGCCCTAAATCAGTGACTTCTTGGTTGTTTCACCTACAGATATTTGAGTATTCTATAAAGTTATTTGCCTCTAAATAAATGAATAAATAAAGACATTTCACTAAAAAAAAAAAAAAAATAGAGCTTTCTCTTGACACAGTTAGCTCCAGGAGTGGGGGATGTAGGCACTGGGCTCACAGTGAATTTGCCTGCCCTACAGTAGCATTTTACTGTAATCTGTGAGATGGCTCAACAGGTGCTGCATGTAGTTACAAATTAATCCCTTCCCCTGTGTGTTTTCATGATGAAGTTATTCACCAAGAAAGTTACTCCTGTAAAATCAAACAGATTGATTTCAAAGACTGTCATCTGTTCAGAGCTTTTTGTGGTAAAACATTTTACAGCTTGCAAAAAAGATTCAAGGTCATCCACCTAGCATTCATTTTAACCTGATTTCAAGAAGAATTAGTGAAGCTGAGAAAAATTGCCTGTGAGGGATTTATTACTGGATGAAGCACATGTAGCTTTCAGGGAATCTCCTAGCTATAATGGAAGTAGCATCAGTGGAAATAGCTGGATAGAAATGGTTTTGTCTCCAACATACAGTTTGAAAACATACTAGTAAAATAAAGCCATGTCCATAATCACAAACTACATGAGAATATGAGCATAACACATGAGCATAACACCAAGTCCTTGGCCTGTAAGTAGTCTTTATCTTTGCTAACATGGTCACAATACCTTTGATCAACTCAGCATATAAACATGTAGGAACATTCTTTTGGAGAGAAGATTTGATTTTATCCTAGTCAGGTCCATCATCAGACTCCTGAAATGTAAAAAAAATATCTAGTTACGCCTTTTAAACACTCTTCAATTAAGTCTATTTGAAGACAGAGTGTTAGATAAATTGAATTGAGAATTAGAAGGTACCCCATAATCTTACATTCACTAATATTTAATTAAATTTTTATTTATTTATTTTCACTAGTGGTGTTCTTTTAATTAATTTGTTCCTCAACTAGCTTATTTACTACATTGAGAAAATAAATATTTAAATCATGCTAACTTTATGTTTTGATAAGATGGCTCTTTAGCCACTGAAAGCATGCGTTTGCTTTTTCTTAAAAGAGTAAATAAATTTAAAGCACTGCATAAATATTTCATAGTAATAACTAACTACTGCTTGTTTTCTTGCATTATCCAAGCCTAGTGCCATTCAACCACTTTTTAAATTATTTCATACCATTTTTTTGCCAGCTGCTCTCTCTCTGTTCCTGGTCTCCAAATAATACACTGAAATATTGTGTTACTATTTTAACAACAAAAAACACAAGGACTTTCTTCCCTGCCTCATGTGCTTACGGGGTACTCTGTAGAATCCTTTAGTAAGAGAGACAGAAAGATACTTAAATACAAATACAGTTATTTACTATTGTGAGATCCAATGCCCAAATGAAGTAAGAGGAAGCTCAACTGGACTCTTTGACACTTTTTTCTTTTGGTATGATTTCTATCAGGGTATGAAAAGAAGACTTCTCATCCCACTTCTTCTTCTAAGGGAATTACAAATAATGTTTGTAGTTTAACACAGCCTTTATGTAGCATGCTGATTTAACTGCATGATTAATTTGGAAACGTTGTGTTACAGGCCTTGACTCACTCAGGAGAAAAGATTTGTCCACTTATCTAATCTAAAATATTCTTTGAAACAGTTAATTGAAGTCAAGAGAAATTCAGGGAGACAAAAAAAGTTCAGGATAAGGTGCCTATCAGTACAAGAAAAATAACTTCTATTAGTGTATTTCCAGTGATGCCAACAAGGTCACTGGTCAAAGATTTCCACTTGTGTAAGAAGACAACTAGGCCTTTTATATATGCCTGAAATGTTATGTATAATGTTTTGTAGTTAAGAAAGGAGAGGATGTTTCATCTCTGCTCTAGTCCATATCAACAAACACAGAGAGTTAGATTTCCTCATCATTGCTATTCGTAACTATAAATTATCAACCCTGAATTTTGCTTTTCCCACCTACATTAAAAAGGATATTAATGTTTCTAGAGCTTTTTACATTTGACTCACCCATGTATTTGCTGCAGTTTCAGAATCATCTCTAGCCAGTCACACACGGGTGAAGTGATAGCTGTTGCAAGACATTCAGTCATTTCATGTGTGGTCATTTTGTTTTCACTCAAGCAGATGCTTCCACTGTCCTTGACTCCACAATCCATATAAGTAATCTTTTTCACCTCAGTAGATGTGGCTATGTTTCCACCTCAGAGCAGAGATATTTGACACATTGGGTTAGAACTTTGTTTTCTGTAAATTCCTGAGATCAGCAGAGATATAATGCTTCCTGTTATTTTTGCCTACACTTAGCAACTGTGAAGTTCCAGTATCTACTCTACAGTTCTGATCTATTGTCCAGATCATTGGATCTTCTCAAACATATTATTTCCTTCTTTGTCAACAGACACAGCTTTTCTTCTAAAGGAAAGATATCTGGAAATTATGAGGAAACAGACAAGGAATGTACACTTAAATCTTACCCTAAGACAATCAAGCTTCTTGTGCTTCAGCTTAACACATTTTTTCAGGGAAAGCTGAAAGCACATCGGCATGGCCTTTCTTTGCAGATATCATCATCTGTTCCTCTTAAAGTACCATTCACTGCTCAGCACAGTAAAGGGGCTGCAAAGTCACCAGAAAATGCCTGTGGGAAGTCTTCAGTATAGGACAGAGAAACCTTTTACATGAGACCAGTAATATAGCAAAAGCAATTTGCCCACAGCAACAGAGCATCATTTCAGTATGTTAATTCTCTGAGCTGTCAGCAGCAAGTCTCTTTTAGAACATGACAGCTAACTTGAAAATCCTAAAATATGCTTCAGTCTTCAGGATAAAAAATGATGGTCTTGAAGATTCATTAATGAGAAGGAATATAATTTCTGGGGCTTGGGAATAAATGGGCCATTGACGGGTTTAAAGACAGTGGAGCATGCACTCCTCTGTCGTGAGGACATACCTGCTAGAGAGCTAATATTGTTCTAGGCTCAGTAGGAAAACACAAGGATAAAGAAAACAGCATTATAGTCAAAAACGTTTCCCAAAATTCCTCATTACAAATATCCATCATGTAAGGAGTTCAACTAATTAAATAGCAGAATTTACAAAAATGCTAAAAGTACCAGCGAAAACCAAAATATCCTAGTTTCAATTAATCATTGCTTTCTTACTATGTAAGACTGGATATATATAAAAAATACGTATAAAAAGTGATTTTGTAGGTCAAAAAAAGGGACAAAAAAGGTGGAGTTGATAAAATTAAAAGAATTAATGAAATATCATTTTTGTATCAATGCCCTCTCATTCTTGTCTTGCTGTGTGTCTAGGAAAGATTTCCAGTCTCTTTGACATAAGAGGACCCTGATAGAGAGGATAGCGGGACAGATAATCAATCTAGCACCTGAAAAGGAAATGAAGAAATAAGTATCATTATGGTTATGATCTAGGAGAAACTCCAAAGAGGCCTATCTGTCTCAAAGCAGGAAACTGTTGTCAGTGTATCTCCCTTGGAGACTTCCTTTCCAGAAGTCAGAGGCTGATGAATTCTAGTTGAACCAGCTCTATCAGGTCCTTATATTACATTTGTCATTTAGTTCATTTCACTCTCCAATTCCATGAGCTAAGAATGATGTGGAACAATAGTAATTAAGAATAAATGTCTAAAGAGTATGAGTTTGCTGACAGCATTTTGTATGGACTTCAAACAGGAAAGTCAAAAGAAGATGTAATAGGAAGGAAGTAGGAGCAGTTAAGTAGGAAGGAACAGTTAAGTTGAAAACTGTTGTCTGGACGGTAGAAAAGAGCATGCTTTAGAGATTCAGCTTTAGTGAGAGACTGAAGTATGAATACAGAGCGAATGCACTTTCACATGTAGCTCCAAGTCTCAGAGAAATAGCCTTCATGATAGTTCATGTTGTAAGAAAACTGCGACACATACTCCTGAGAAGCACTCTCACTGTGGCAGCAGTGAAGGACGGTCTTCATTGTGATTTTATATAATGATGTCAGTTTTAAAAAGAATTTTGATTTGCATTTCTTAGACTCATAAGTTTAATGCCTCTAGGAAGCCCTTGGGCATCGTGTGAGTGACTAAGACAAAGTATCTCAAAGCTGAAAGGGCAGTGAGAACAAAAATATGCATTTCTTAACAACCAAAAGCAGTTAGACCCCAAACTGGTAAACAGCTGTTAGCTGATGATCACCTAAATGATCAGATGTTAGGTCATATTATTGTTTCTATTATGAACCCAGTCCATTTCAGCAGTTCAGCATAATTCTGCCTTCTCTGTTGCTTTAACATAACCAACACACTGGCAATTAAGTATTAG